TATTCTGAAATGTTCATGACATTTTTTCTCGTAATATTGTTTAAGAAATGAGTAGCTGCTCCTTGATAACGCATGCTACTTTCACATTCTTTCCTCGTTATACGAACAAACAAGGTCTTTTAGAGATTCTGATGTCGTTTGTCCTTCAAAGAAAACTGGCTCTTACTTGTCATTTTGACAAATTTCCAACCAAACTCACATGGCGAGCCTTGAGTTTAGAGTAATTGCAGTAGGTCTTACTAATGCTATTTGGTAAGAAAGACTGGTACATTATCAACGTTGATAAAATAACAAGGATCTTTTTGTCTCGAACTAGGTCTTTGTCTATAATTTTAACTACTCTCTGTGTAATTTGGTCTTTATGCCAAGTATGTGGTCAAACATTCAGCATGATAAATTGCTTTATTAAGCAAATTCTCATGCTTTATTCAGTATATCATATCAGCGACGCCTGCTCTAACAGCACAATCATTTAGATTTGCTAATCTTCCAGCATGGTTTTCACTTTCTATTTTCTTGCAAATTATACACTTTAATGTTTCGAAAGGCCGGGTCAACATTACTTTCAACCAAAAAAGAATTGGATAAATCTGGCTTCATATCTGGTGCTTCCTTCTCAGCCGTGCTACTGATTTCAAATTCTGTTTACTTTTGTAGCTTTTAAAACAAATAAAAATGGTTGAATAAGTTTACGTATCTTTACATAGTTCATTGAAATAAATAAATAAATCCTCATGTCTCACTGCTGCATCATTTATCAGACTTTTTTTCTCGATTATGTTGCTATTCTTAAAATTAAAGCAAATACGAAATTGCAGGTAATGTATTTGTCCAACTCCAACTTCATAGCACCTTTTCTGAAAAACTGTTTTTTTTTAGTTTTTTTCCACAATTTTTAGATGCTCTGTGCTTTAAATATAGCACTTATTGAAGATGCCCTTATAATGTATGAAGTTCAAGAATAACCATACTACATGTAACCAAGTAAGTTCACAAATCATGTTTAGAAAAGGGTTAATTATGAGATTAGTCTATCGAAACAGCAGTGGGGTCTTCGATGACAGTTGGGTAACGTCAGTTAAGGTCGTTTTTAACGTTATTTGCACCACATTTGACATTTACGACAAATATTTTTTCGAAGTTGAATAATCGATAGACATTTTAAAACATTAATATTCCATGAGGTATCTAGGAAATTTAAACTCGTTAACTAAGCGTCTTTTTCAATATTCACCGCTCCACTATTGGGAGTAGATATAGAGGAAAGAAAAAGATGTTGCACTTGCTTTACTTTTTAGCGTTGTTCTTTGTACATGTGCTTTTTAAATTTTTTAATATCTGTCTTATTAAATGTAAATCCGGTAACAGTCTTGTCTTTTCTTTGTCATCAAACACGTTTCAATTTCAAAATTTCACACTCGATGAAGTATCAGGGTTAGAAAATTTACATGCATGATGGTTTACGTATTTTGTGATGTCTTAGGGTTATTTAAGAGTCTATTATTAACCCGCTATTGTGTGATGCCTTATCACTTGATATAACTTATCAAAGTATTTCATACACGACGTTTGTCACATGTGGAGCAGGATATGTTAACCCTTTCGGAGCACATAAGATCATCCCCGGTCTTTTTGGCTGGGTTCTTGTTGCTCAGTCTTTATATGTATTGTGTTTTGCAAATTGTCGTTTGACTTCTAGATTATTTTTCGTTTTTCACCATGGCGTTGTCAGTTTGTTTACGACTTATGAAATTGAATATTTCCTTGGTATCTTTTGCCTCTCTCTTTTGCGTCCGTAGCACTTTTCCTTGTTTACTTTCACCAGGAAAGATCAATGCCAAATATTTCAAGGAAAGGATATATAAGTGCCGAAACACGTAAAGAGCATTATGATAAAAAGGAGTATGGGTATCACAATGTCTACTGGTACTGATTTGTACTGAATTTCGATTGGTATAAATCAGAATTCCAATTTTATTCTATTAGATGTTGAATTCTAACAAAAACTTCTTTCCCTCCCAGCGCACATTAGATCACCAAATGTTTTTTTTTAGGTTCGTGTCGTTCAGTCTTTAGTTTGTATGATTGTTTTGTAGTTTGTTATGTAGACATGTAAAGGATTACAATGAAAAGTCTATCATTGACATTGACTGAATACTGGAAATTCACATGCTAAGCACATCTTGTTCTTTGATTTAAATGATTTATGAAAACACATATACAATGTACAACCAATAGCAACAATGTATAAAACAAGTATAAGTGTGAAAAAGTAGTGTAAATGTTTATGTATTTCTTTTTTTATGTATTTGTAACTAAATAGTGTGAAATAAGCATATGTTGAGTTACCCTATGTTTTGCTCAGTATTAAGAAAGAATCGTTGTTATGTCGCGTCTCTTATCTCTCAATTGACTGCTTATGTTTAAATCACCGTCAGGTCTGATAAATATAACGTTATTGTCAGCATTGTGAAAAATAGACCGGGCGATTATGAAATGTCTGCAAAATTCTTTTCCCAACAAAAGCTGCAAAAAATACATCGTCACTTCCAGCGAACAATTACTGGACGAACATGATCACATTGTTGCCAATTGATGTAACCTTTATGTGGGAATATGTCCAAGAAACAAATATAAAACCATTGATAGACAGACTATACCTGGACTATTGATTTTGGCATAAGCAAATTTATGCGTCCACTTACCTCCTTATGATTACTAGTGTTATAAGATCTCAGACAGATTACAACTCTACCAACACTTAAACTGTTGTATTCAATTTCACCAAGTTTATAACAACTGGAAGCGCCAAAAAAGACTTTTGCTGTACCAAAACTAAAGATTGAGTAAAACGAACTATGATTTTGCCATTTGAAAAGGACTTTCCATTTTGAATTTTCCTTGGAGTTAGGTATTTTTGTTATTTTACTTTTTTCATAATATCTAAATTTATAAAGGAAAAAATATGAAAACTTAATAGGTAACAATGTCAAAAATAGAGGGACAGCAGCCAACATTGTGTTATAATCTTAATCACAATAAAAACAAACAAATATGTTAACAAAGAAAACAAAATAGCATATAGACAAAACCCATAAGCAAAATGAAAGAAAGGAATACAAAAAATGACCATAGCATAATAACACAATGGCGGGATGTATAAGTACCGAGCCACGCCAAAAGGATATTACCACAGTAAAGGTAAATAATAAACAAAGACAAATAAAAGAACACTATAACACGTAATTAAGATGATAAACAACGTCAGTACCTAAAATTTGTTGAAAAAGTCTACCTCCAAATTCAACAAATATGTTGTCAATAAGAAACTCCAGCATTCTGATCACTTGTTCCTCTGTGTAGCATGTTTTACCTTTTTGTTCACTATTAACAAAATATGCCGTATGGTATCCACAAGTAATAAATTTATAGCGTATGCTACCATTTTTATGTTGAAAAGCATTGTGGATTATTTCTTTTAGACGATTTTTCAATTTCAAATGGGGAATGGTGGTATACATGGTTGAAAAATCATGAAGACATTATTAAGAAACTAAGATTCAAACTCCTTCATTTATTTAGACGAATTGGCTCTGTTTTTTATGTTCCTTTTGGTTATATAGCTCATCACATATTTATGTCTTATACATTCATAGCTTCCAAATGTTTGGATGTAATCGTCATTGATGACGATATATCCAGAAAAGAGCTTAATTTATCACGAAATTAGTAGTTGTTTTTAAATTTAGAAGCACTAACCAGATACCATTGCTGGTGAACAGTTAGTCCCCCGAGGGTGTCATTATCTCAGTAGTCAGTGCTTTCGTACTGACATGGTTAATACCATATTTTTCGTTGATAAATAAAGAAATTATGGAATAATGATTTAGTATTTAAAATTAATAAAAAAAATACATTGCAATTTAGAAATTAAGAAAAGAAGGTTCCAACTCCCTCAATTGTGTTGACTTCATATGAATTAGGCTATGTTTTGGATCCCTTTTGGTCGTATAGCTCTTAAAGAGTATACAATGTAGGTATTTTGCTTATAAATGTTTGTGTTTAAGCGTTCCCGGTTAAGGTTAATCCAGGGCAGCACCTCTGAGACTTGAAAATAGTGTTATTTTTATTTCAGTAACTGCTAGTACTCTCAAATCGGTATTTTATTTCATTAGGGTTTTTGTTTGTTGTAATTATGATTTGTATCGATCTGATGAGTAACTCCGTTTTCAACATTTTATAGTTTTTTTATTATGTTGTGCTGCTACACTATTGTACCTGGTTAGAGATAGAGTTTGGCGCCTGCAAACATGTTTAACCCCGCTAAATTTTGTATTTGACTGTCCCAAGTCGGGAGCCTGTAATTCAGTGGTTGTCACTTGTTGCTGTATATCAGATTTCAATTTTGTTTCTTGTTTTGTACATTAATCCGGACGTTTGTTTTTTTTCATTTGAATTGTTTTACATTTAGTCATGTCGGAGTATTTTATAGTTTGCTATGATGTACGGGTTGTGCTCCTTTTTGAAGGCTGTACGGAGACCAATAGTTGCTTACATCTTCGTCAGTCTGGTATCTGGTGGATATTTGTCTCATTGCCAATCATACCACATCTACTTATTTTATATTGAATATGAGTTGTCATGTATTCAAGCAATACATTATTTCTTTTAACTGTATATACTTTTTATATATTAAGAACTTGTAAACTAAAATGAATGTATCCCTTATTTATCCCATAAAATAAAAAAAAAATGTTAAATATTAGTAAGTTAATTTCAAGCTGTGACAATTTCCCCATTGTAACCGATTAATTTAATTGTATTAGCGAATAATACCCTTATTACTTATCTCTAAGGCGTAAATGAATGTAAAATACTTTAGTTTATTCATGCCTGTCATTTTGAAGATCTTGTTACTCAAAACAAAATGAACAAAGCATGCCCTAGTTTATTCTTTAGTTTGTTTTCTTCCTGATTTGGTCTGATTGGTTAATATTTCTAAATTGTGTTTTAGGTACAGAAAAACACCGCTTGGAATATACACAGGTTTTTATTTTAGCGCTTAGATATAACTTTGAAAGAAGAGATTGTTAAAGATTAATGAAGGTAAACGCTTCATATTATTTTAACATCTAGTTTCATTTTAATCCGTATTTACATTTAATTCGTCCAATAGGTTCGCATAATTAACAGAAAATGTCTTAATAATAAAAGGTGAAATTTGTATAATGTATTAAGTCTTAATAAAGATAATATTTGTTTTCAGACAAAACGCTATCTCCTCAACAATCTGTTAAAAAATTGTACGGAGACAATCATGATATTGATTGATCTCAGTCAGAAATGTCCACAACTTGTTTTATTTGTGGTAACCATAATTAATTTGAAAATAAAGTAAGTCATCAAAGGTGATTTATCATTACTACCACAATGGATACATCTAGTTGAACTACAAACCCTTCAAGATGTCCGAGTACGACATTGCTTCGTAGTTTTGTTTCTGTTTTAATTTCATTAATCTGTCAATCTGTGTTTCGTGGATGGTTAATTGTGTTTTCGTCGTCTTCTTTCAGAAAGGCTGTTGCCTTGTTGCATTTTCTTTGCAAGTGTTGTGTTTTCGCATTTTCCTTTCAGAAATGTTTTAGTCTTTCTTCAATTTATGCTTTTTAGTGTTTTTTTTATTTTTTGTGTTATTACATTTTTAATTTTGCCATTGAAGTCGATGTAAAAACAACTTCTATTGAGTATCGCAGACTTTTATTTGTTTGAATATAACAGTTGCTAAATGTTTATAGCTGTTTGTGTATATTTATCCTTTTGCATGATAATTTTTTTGTCGGGGGAGTTGAAGCACAATAAAATTCAACATGAACAATTTGGTCATCTTAGTTCTGAGGTACCCACGTGACATGAGAGTCCGCCAGCAAAAGCACCGACCAAATGGTACACAATTGAATGATATGAATATATGAATATATGCTAATAATTTCAGTATAGCGACACTTGAACAATCGTCACGAGTTAAGTACAAAATCACAGATTGGGTGTAAAACAAACATAAAAACATTTAATAGAATTAAAACCCTAATTAAAAATGTTATGGCGGTGATGTAAGAAATCTATTAATAAAGCCGAACAACTGTTGAAGGTCAACTTAGCAACAAGAGAGTTGTGCGCTATCAGTCCCCGAGAATACCATCAGCCAGTAGTCAAGACCTGGTTTATAGCAAAACTTCTAAAGTTGTCTGCTTTTATGTTATACATTATAAAGAAACTAAGGTTTCAACTCCCTCAGGCAATGTTGACCTTAGATGAACTTGGCTATTGTTTTAAGGTTTTCTTTGGTCATATAGCTCTTCGACTGTTTCGGTGCTTATACATCCTTGGTTTTCAAATATTCGGCTTTGAATGTTGCTGATGAAAATAAATCTTGAAAAGCGCTTCGGACGCATGAAATTTTTAAAGAGTTGATTTTTTTTCTAGTTTTAGTATAAGTAATAAATAGTTACCGTATCAATTCAAAATTTAGTTTTTACGTTCTATGCTAATTTGCTTATTCATAATCTACTGGTGTGATTCGTGGTTAAGTTGCCACTCCGTTTTCTTGATAACTTATTATATCCTACCGTAGTCTATAATCGGTCATAACGTTGGTTCGTTCGGATTTTGTTATTGTACTTATCATACGGGAAAACTCCGCATTGACGTCACTACGCTAATACCAGCGTATAAAATTAGTGCAGAATACATTTTTTCTACACTTCTAAATAAAATGATATTTCTAAAGATATGTTTTCATTATTATTCTTAAGTATTGTACAAAAATGCAGATTTTCTAATGGCCATTTCAAACCTGACTTCCGAATGCCTAAAAACAATTCAGAACTTAAGAAAACCCCTCTTCCGGCCTCCATTGCTTTGTTTACATTCCATTGAGCGTCATCAATCTTAATGGCAGACCAAACAGGCCAAGCAAATTGTATTTTTAAAAATTTCAAAATGGCAAGCACCTTACGTCTTGCGCGATTTTCCCGAGAAAAAAAACATCCAAATCGAAAGAAAAACTTAAGGAAACAAACGATAATCATGCCATATTTTTGTTCAGGAATATAGAGTAGGTTAATAAAAAACAATATACATATATTTTTCATAAAAAAAAAATTTGGTTCAATATAAAGAGATCGATATTCTGACCATAAGTAAATATTCATATAAAATTCCATCGATGTGAAATTTCATGGCTAATAATGAGGTTTCCTATTGAATAAACTCCCAATGTATTGCAAACTATTTCAAAGCAATATCATACAAACAAATAATATAATTGCCTTGTACTAAAAAATCACCTAATTGACAGTAGAGCAATTTGATTGGATATAACGATTCAATGTGCCACGTGGTTTTGAAGCCATTATAATTTGAATGTAAACAAACCGGGTCAGCTGCTACAGTATGGAACAACATCGTACATTCAGTGACTGAGAAACAATTATGAGTAACCAAGCTTGACAATACACAGTAATAAAAAAACAAAACTAAGTCTAAAGAAAAATAAAATAAAAAATGGCCTTAAGTGCACGACTTACCACCATTGCGGGATACATTATACAAAATATGCATATATAGAATTTGAAGAAATGTGTAAATCCATCAGCATATATACTTTAAATTACCAACGATTTGTCGAAATGGCAATGAGATTGAATTGCTTCTATGTCAAATTTGCTCACCGTTGAAGACGAGTATAAATACCCCTTTTATGATAAGATAAGTGGTTGTTAAATTTAAGCAATAACGCCAAAGACACATTTGTGCAATGAATCATTGATATTTTTATTCAGGATGTAAATGTGTATATGAAAATATTGTTACGGTAGATCGGGTGTCTGCTGTCAACATAGGCTGCTTAATTGCAGAAAACAATCGGTCTAGATCTATAATGAAAATTATGTGTTACTTCGTTATTGTATTTTTCGACTGTTTTTACAGATGCAAATTTGTCATATAAGTGGAGATAACTCAGATAATATTTTTTTTAAAAGAATTAGTAGTGAATTCGCCTATTTTGTTTTGTAGCAAGAACAGATCTAGAGTACCCCATTTTTTCTAGAACCGATTAAGCTATTTTCTCATATTTTATCTTAAAATTCTATGGTTCAGTTTTTTTTCTTTAACACAAAATAAGGTTTTCCATGTATAATCTATACAAAATTTAGAAAAAAGCTTTTATTTGATATAAAAGCAAGATCTAAACTTCATTTGGAAAATTATTTTAAAAATCTATCGATTTTGAGGGAGACCGCTTCTACCAAACAAATAAGATACGGCATTACAATGTATATGTTAATACCACTTTATTGATAAATTTTTGAGTTATCGACGGATAATTTAAAAAAAATGTTTGTTAAAAATGATGTCAACACCGAAACACTGACTACTAAGTTGATGCTACCCTCGGGGACTAACAGTCTACCAGCAGTGGTTACGACCAAGTAGTAGTAAACAAAAAAAAAGTACTTTATTAATTTCGTGCGTCTGGATTTACCTTCCTCACAAACACTCTCATGTTCCGTGATGTGATATTTAAATATGTGGTATACGGTATTATTTACATCCCCTTTCCTATATGTCTGACGTATACACAGATATGTTAAAAGTTATGGTTAACATCACTTTAGATTTTAATAATGGTATATGTGTTGATTATTTCAGTTTTCTATTTATTGTGTCCATTTTTAATAATTAAAAAAATGATTGTTTGATTCTGATAATCGCTATTCAATGTTCGAAAATAACAAGGTCCGGTATTCGATACATCCTCTTGTATAATTCAATTTTCATTTGATTTTTAATTTTCAGCAGTTCAAAGTCCGTATTTGCTAAGTCATTCAGACATATTATTTTTTTTAGATTTCGATATTCAGCTTTTTCTCACACCCTTTGATATATTGAAATAAACAGAAAAACAACACCAAAGGTTAACAGTTTGGTACACAAAAAAAATCCGATATAAAATAGATGGATTGCCATTGTACAAAGTTGATTATCATTCAATTTTTAATATGCATTTCAATACACAACATTTAAATGTTCGCAAAATAGTTCATAAAAATCACCAGAAATATCAGGGTAATGATTTGTTACGTCAGACGCGCTTTTAATGTTCATAAGGTCAAATTAAATACAAAGTTAAAGATCATTTCAAGCCAAAATTTGCGAAAATTTATGTCAAATACAGACTATGCGTTGAGCGAAGAAAATTCAGCAATTGATTGTCATTTATTTGGTTCCACTTTGACGGGTATCGAACTCTCAATCTACCACCCTCGAGGCGAGCATATTACGTAATGTTTGAAAATCATTTGAGTCGCTGGAATATAGACACAACTAAAACGGCATTAATATTCGTTTCTCATGCTTTATATAAATATATATATATTACTTGCTTTTTCATAATTGATATTCTACAAAGAATTAAAAAATGAACGTTTTGTTTTGTATTGAAGAAGAATGTACATCTATGTTAAAACTGACATGCTTAGTAAGCTTAATATTGAATTTTATTTTTTTGAAATGGTACTTGAAACTAAACAAACGTTTGAAACAAATGGTATACATGCAACACAATGATACGTTTTTTTACAAGGAAACATGTTGATTACTTATCGTGACGAAATACCAAATCTTTACTGAGGTTGATTTATTCAGAAAACAAAACATGCTATCTTGATGATGAATCGCAGTATAAATTCTAAAAACTTTTGATAAACTCAGTATTAAAGTTATTTTGACACAAAGTACTTGTGAAAAAAAGGCGAACGAACCATTTTCTTGGCGACATTTCCTGTTTCAAAAAGTTCATTAACCTTATTTGTTAAAGTGTCTATTTCATGTTTTTATTTTGCAAATGCAATGTTGTAAAAACACCCAGTCTCAATAAGTCTCAAAGTGAATATCTATTAGATTAATTAACCATTTGAATACCAACTTTCTGTTGAATTATCAATCCACCAATCCAACAGATATCTGATCGAAAAATAATCCACTATATTGATGATATCACTCATTGTTTGCATTTCCAGTAATAAGACAATATATGTGTGCTTACAAACCTCATTTTTGTAGCAAAAGCTCTGTTTAATAAAACATGGTATTCAATCTTTCAATTGAACTAACGAAATAGTAGTGTAAAGTATAGAAAAATCAAAAGTTTTAGAATTATTGCAAAATTGTAAAGATTTTGATTTTATATTTTGCAGTAGATATTTAAAAATAATAAGAATCCAAATCTGATTGACATATCAGGATGAATATAAATCCTCACACTATTTTGATCGCATTTTAACTGCAAAATGAAATGTAGTAAGAACTTTAAAAAGCTGTTTAATCAAACATATTGACGACCCATCTATATATCGTTCTTTATACGGATTTTTTGTTAAGTTTAGGTATCCAGTATAAACACGGGAGATTTTAATTGTCTTTTTGATTCGTTATGTTTCCACAATATGTGCCTTCGTAAAGGATGTAGGGCTATATGTGGGATTCCCAGTTTTGCTCTAGTTTGTCATTTCAAATACAGATTTTTGCATATACAAATTTGTCATAGGCTTTGTATGCTGGAATAAACCACCATATCTTGCTTGTTCACGCCGGCTTAATTTCTGAATCCAATCACTTATGTTTCTGTAAGTCAAGTTTCATATAATGAAAATGAACAATTTACGATGATTTTATATTATTTTTAGACATCATGGCATTTCAACTGATGTATGTGACAGTTCTCACAACGCTTCTGATGGTCTGTTTAGATGTCTGCCACAGCAAAACGTCCGTGACATGTATGTTAATCATTTTTAGAAAGCAAAACGTCTTAGACAAAGACTACCATTTGAATTCAGTATTTTTGTCATTTCATTAATCATTTTTTTTTTTCGATAAGCAAATGTTTATTCAATAATAAGTATGCCGTTATGTTTTATTTGTTTATTTTGAAGTTTTCTAAGCATAACGCTTTTTATTTGTTATAAAATCTATACACAACGTACTCTTGCGCGATCGCTTCCACATAAAAGTTCTCCGAAACTGTTAAAATACACTCAAATTATTTAATATGTTATATAAATGTACAGGTATATTTGAGAATTGAAATCTCAAAAACCTGTAAACAAAGTGTAAAACACAGCTCCTTCATTTGCCCTCCCAATCTTTTATAATAAAAGATTTTCTTTATTTCGGGATTTGGCAGTCGATGTCAGATTTTCTGTACCTTTCATATGGATTTGTTAATCTCGCCACTAAACACTTGTAAAAGATAAGCAGTTCTAGAAACCACAATCACCGTAGTAAAAAGTCTTGGTTTAATGTCTATCAACCATCTAACAGGAATGATAATAAGAAAGCCAAGGCCGGCATGCTTGTTCATCTTTTAGGTATACTCCGTTTGTAACAGATGCCAGCAATCTGCTATATAAGAACAGAAAATCAAAAGATAAGGAAAGACGTTGAGAAATTATTTGGTTCTTAACCGAACCTATCTGCCAAAAAGAGAGTATTTTTTATTAACAATATTAAGCAGATCTATTTGTTTATGAGGGATCCTTCATCAATTTCAATTGGATTGATGCTATCATCTCAAAAATAAGAAAAACATCAATTTAACGGATTGAGGAGACAGAGGATTATACCAGTCTTTCCATTGCATTGAGAAGCCAATGCATAACACATCAATCAAATGTAAAATATTATAATGTCAATTATAAACCAAGCAAAGTACATAATGATGTAGGCACTTAAGGGAAGTTCTAGAGCGATTCCGAGTGTTTCTTTTGCAAAGAATGATTAAACCCCTCTTACGTATATATATAAGACATTCGATTTAACAGTGGACTATTCGGTTGATAAATCTGAGTTAGGAGTGCTAACCTGGTAAAGGCCGGCATATTTTTCACTATTGATCAAAGAGAGGAACTTAATTTGCTTATACTTTAACATTTTTCAAATTTATTATTGAAATAAGAAAAGCTTAATTATATCTCTTAAATAGATGACTACATATTTAAAAAGTGCCATAACTAATTTTGTTGTTTTTCAAATATTCGATTTGCGAACAGTTTAAATGATATTTTATTTTTGTTAGATTCCTTTTCAACTGATTCGTGTAATGCACCAACGTATGTTGTTGATGAACACACCACAACCTTCATGACATTTGATGGGGATTTACGGAACCATGACTGTAGACAAATGTCGTTTTCAATTCCCAAATCGATTTTCTATTATTACCGCATGTTCGTTAAACAACATTACTTTGACAGCCCTAAATGTCAGACTATGGTACAGTTCAAGATATACAGAGATATAGAACCAGAATATGAATATTATTATGACTATGATGGCGAGGTAATTTGAAATATGATTATTTGTTGCATTAATTTGTAGTCTTTTCGTTTTCAATTTTCTGTTTGATGCACTTTTTTTTAATGGTGCTCAAAAGCCACTCAAAGAACAATTTATATCGAAACGGAAAGCTTCTAGTCTAGTCGGCTTGGCATAATTAATGTCTTGTACATTCAGATATTTTGCTATGGTATTAATTTCTCAAAAATAACGACAAAATAGTTTTTGCAAAAATATATTCTCGCCATACTAGTTTTAATAGCATATAAATTTGTGTGCGATATTTCTTAAATCGTAACAATTAATCTAATATTTAAGTCCTTTTGTTTTCAACAATCGCAATAATTAATGCACACAAACATGTCTAAATTCACAGTACATTTAATGTATTTAATGTTGTTATTGCACTATACAATGCAAGCATATCGAAAATTAACCATTAACTACAAGAGTTGATAATGCATGTTTACCAATAAATAGCCGGTTCTTAGTCATTTTCAAATATTTTGTGTTATGTAAAAACTACTTTCGATTCATTAATATTCGTAGGATGCTAATTTTCGTGGAACTCGCAGGAACAGCTGAACCATGAATTCAAATGTTCACAACATAACATATCGTCGATAGATCTGAATGCAGACTTTGGCAAATGTCCACAAATATGCAAGCTTCCATCGACGAAAGAAAAATCTAACCCACAAAAATAAATGAATCCATAGTATTTCTTGAACAGGCGCTTGCAAAGTGTACTAGTCTATAACTGGTTTTTCATTTTGGTGTCTTTTTGAAAACTTTTTTTTGAAGAGCTAGTTTTTACCGTTACCGTTTGAAACTTTAAATATTTGTTTTTTTTTAAATAAAATAATGCGCAATTTAAAAAATTAATATGTAAACGCATAATAGCGACGTCCGGATACTTAATTTATTCTTGCAGTTAATATTGGACATATTATGCATTTGTCATGGTACATTGGATATGGTTCAAATTTTATTGCTAGTATCTCGAATTTATTAGACAAAATCTAAATAGAATATAGCTTAAATTCCATGAATTATATATTTAAAACACGTGTGATAGACATGTGGTTCATCAGATTCACCCTTGATATAAAATATGGAGAACCAAAGGTATAAAACCTTAAATAATAAAGGCTCTACATAAAACAGTCAATCAAACGTCAACCGTGTCTGAAGATTTTGAAACCTAAGCTTTGACACAATTGCACATTTTTTTAATTGGAAATTACAAAAAAAAACATCATTTGTTAATATTGAAATACTGGTTTCTATCAACAGCGGTAAACTGTATTATTTATGAAAAAAAAATAGCTGGGATAGTGTTCCCCTCCATGCTTGTCTTCTGTAATACAGGTATCAACATTAAATGCTTAATTTGGTTTATTATTTACAAATAATCAAAATATTGCTTCTCTATTTTGTTTCAAGATAAAAGGTGAAGGTTGCAAAGGGGACTCAAACAGCTATCTTTTGGATGGGCTTTACAATTTCGATTCAGTTTCCTTCCAAGTAAAGAAATCTCATATAAGTAATAATGAAATCAGCATACACGGCGACATAATACCAGAGGAAATAGCAATAGCACCTGACAAACTAAATGACACTTTTAAGTTTCAAATTGACGCAGAATTGGAATACAATTGTGAGTATATTAATTTATGTTTACGTTATGATGTAACGGTTTAAAATAGCATTTAAAGTGGCCTGCTTTTGATTCTTCTTATGATAAATGTAACAATTATATTTCAGACGATTATACACCCAGATCTACTTTTTCCTGTTTGAGTACGAACATGAACCTCGAAATTGTAATACATGAGAGGAATATTGTAACAAACATTCATTCTCTTTTTGTTTTTAGACAAAGCCTTACTATTCAAGAGAATCAGTAAAATTACAAAACAAAAGCAAAAAACAAAAAGACCTGCAAGATGGTGAACAGTTTAAGAAAAAATGTAGTATAGTGGTTGTAAAAAGTCTGCTGTTGTCTGTACCATCAAAAATGATAAAAACAAACAACCAAACTACAAAAAAAGACTACATATTAGGCTTAAAAATTTATTCTTTGTCGCAACCTGTCAAGCAGTGAATCATCACCAGACGCTATTAGTAGAGTGTTTGTTTACATTACCAACTTTTGAATAGAGGCACATTTGCTCTGTTTTTAAACCAATAATCAATCATATAAAGAAATATCATTAAAGCATGTAATGCCATTGCACCCTGGATACTTTTTGAAAAGCTACCTAAGAAAATTCAGTTTTGGGTTTAAGCTTTATTACAGATACAAGTTCTAGAATCGACGACCAAAACACTTTTACTATTTGAGATAATTAAGTTTTAAAATATAGTACTTTGCAACGAAAATGCAATTGATATAGACCTGCAGATTGCAGTAAGGAAATTTAAAACATGTTTAGCTTTAAAAAGCAAATTGTGTAAACTAACAAGTGTACATATGCAAGTAAAAACAGTTACACGTACAAAATACATTCCAGTAATATTGTGTGATGAAAATGGTATCATATACTTTCTTTCATAATTCTAAATTATATTAAACCAGATGATGTAATTGGTGGAATATCAGGGGGAATAGCTGGTTTCTTGATTCTCTGTGGATTGACTATTTATTTGTGCATCTGTTGTCGTAGGAGAAAACGAAAAACCGGAAGATACTGTTGCACATGTGTATATAACAGAACAGGAAACATTAGTATGTTTATCTACTTTAGTTTGAAAATTCATTAGTAGGTTAATCTGCATGGTTAAGACTTGGCTTGTGAAAAAAAAATCTTTACCAACTAGTCACTGAAAATTTCATTTTTATTATGCGTGTATGGTAAATTATCATAACAGTGTGAAAAATTTAGAGGAAATGAACGTATCAGTAAGAGTTCATGTAAAAGTGGAGCATTGTAAAAAGATCTTTAAGAAATTAACAAATATGTACATGTACTTGTACAACCACTATACATCTGAAGGAAACCAACGAAATAACATTTGTATTTTTAATAGTAAATAAAAGATTTTGAATGACAATGACCAACAGTTCAATGAATTCTCGATGTAATGCCCTTTTAAATCTTAGATAGCCAAATGATACCTCATACTATTAATTTCAACTCATGTCAGTTCAATTTGTTTGTATATAGATGCAGGAGGTCTTTTGACAGAATGTTCCGTAGGTGGACTATTATTATGCTCGTGTATTTTATGTAGACACCAACAACACTACAAAAGAATGCAGAGTTCATATTCAGATTCTTGTGAAAAGAGTAAGCATTGATATAGTGTGGTATTTTTTGTTTTTTCCTTCATAAATGATAATTTACATGCACACATATACCTTTTTTATGATCATCATATCTTATTTTGTTTTCGATCGGGAATTGAATTGCATTTTTGATCTTTTTTTTTTTTTTTTTGGTGTGTGGAAAAAGGGGGGGATAGGGTTGCCAGACAAAATTATATTGAACTATAATACACTTATAACTAATGAATGGCTTGTACATATTATATTTAATTGGAGGATGAAAAGGAAACAATCAGTATCATGTATTAATTTGCATTTTGGTTAATTACAAGTTTTTGATATCAACAAAATAGAAAGAACAGGATAATGTGAATTTTTTCCAATATGGTCAAAGATGAATTAGAATAATGTTTGAAGGCACAATTTTATCAAAATCTATCAAAAAGTATCTTGTTTCTGTTTGTGTACTACTTGACATAAATTAAAAAATGAGGCACAAAAAGACTGACTTGGGTAGTAATCAAAATTAAATACATTGGGTGAGCAGAGGAGAATAAAATAAACATTATCGAAGTACACAATGAACTATCATATTGAAGGGTAGGTGACTGACTGTAATGTTTATTCTATGATTAAACAAAAGTAGCCTTTTCATATTGGTAAATTCCGGTTTATGGAACATTTAAAGTATGTCTATTGCAGAATACACCATTGTTCTATAATTTTATATACCAGTTCGATATGTGAAAGATGAATTGACCTTTTCAGATGGTTACAATTGTAATATATCACGGGAAACCTTTAGAATTGCTTTTTTGGTTTACAGTGTCTACTGAACCTGATGACAACAAGACTGATATGGTGACGAGGTGGGAATCTCTTAATGGCCAGAAGGATCAAAACACAGTCCCACTCATTCAATGTGACAATTAAACTTGAGAATACGCAAAATGTCCGAATGAAATATGTGTAAATAGCATCGGAACCTTTACCAAAGAGAAACGGTGCAATTTTATGTATATGTATCTGTACTTTTTTACCAACAAAATAATCGATGGTGTATATATATTTTAATATTAGTGGTTATAAATCATGCACTAAAACCGTTTCGTACACTTCTTCTTATTTATGTAAAATGAGGAAATGTAAATGAAAAATTCATTTAAAGCTTTAATTAAAAACTGGCGAATTAATCCGATGGTTATCCGTCAAAACCCGATTAGATTTGTAAAGTATTCGTACAAGAATAAAAAAAAGATGATAAGATACGTGTTTATCTTTTCCACAATAAAACACAATAACGTACTTTATTTGGACTTTTAGCTTTTATCATTCAAGTGTCATTTAGACGAAACGAGTTTTTTTTCACATTATTATATATTAGGGGTATATAACTTATTATCTTACTTATCATACCTTTCTAGAAATGTCATTGGTTATATATTTGAAAGCGAACACGTGGACATATTTAATATAAGGTCAGTGAGCGCGTTTTATTTTAAGTACACGGTTTTTTGAATACATGATTAAAAGTAGTGTTACGTTCCTTTTAAAAAACAAAATGGTGTTGTTTTTATAGTAACATACATTGTGAACCCACATAATTATAATTGTTTCATTCTTTTAGACAGAAATATGTCTTAGAGACGCTGATATATTCTTACTATACATAATTAAAAGTTCGGTTGAATGTTGTGTTAAATTGTAATATCAAGTTTTACAACTACGTCTAAATTCCCTGTCTTAAGATAGTCGGTAAGATATATTCGTTACACAGTGAGCTCGTGACCTAATACTATATATACGGGGTCAGTAAATTTCATATGTAGATCGAGCTTCGCTCGTTCTTGTTCCATATGGAATTTTCTGACCCCGTTTATATCGTTTTAAGGTCACTAGCACACTGTATGACTTATACATATTTTTATATTTTGACCTATCTGATGATACACTATTGTTGAAAACTTTTGAATATGTGTTGTTTAAAATACTGTACAGATTCATGTATGTCAATAAATGACAATGCAGTAGAGCTGAACATAATTTGTTTCTAGATTGTAGCTTTAGAAATTATTATTTCTGTATACAGCTTTTAATTTTTTCCCATCTGTTTACAATAGTATTGACAGAAAAACCACCAGACATAATCTGGTCAGCCATGATATCTAGATTTTAAACACAGATATGTTATTGAGTTTACATTGTAAACGTAGATTTGTCAATGCAATATTAACTCGTTATATTATGTGTATAGAATTAACATATATTTGTTTCAAATAAAATATTAACAAAATGCTGTATCATCTAAATTATTGTATTCTATAACTTGAAACGACTTACTATCCTGACGGATGTAGTATACTGCACGAGACAACATTTGAAGAATATAAAGAGGAAAACTAGTGATCTCAGCAGCACAGCTTAAGTTACTACTCCTCATTACGACTAATACAGGAAGTTCTTTAGTAATAAGGCTAAATGACTGAACACATAAAAGCGATAAAGACAATACTTAGCGTTTGTTAAACATGTTACAGTCGTTTTCTTTCAATACCGTCTAAATCGTCTCTCTACAGCGTGTTCCTAACGAATGTGTTCGATTTATGATAGCAGCATTTGGAGTGAACAGAATTGGTGGTCCCCCTGAAGTAAAATGTGTCTAGATCGTATTACCAGTTGTTATTTTATTATTAAAGCAAACATGATCCAGTGATTACGTAATAGTAAAAATAGTACAAAAAATATTTATCCGTCTGCATAAAGTCTTCCACTCCATATAACAAAGAATGACATGAAATTTGGGGTATAGTTCATTCTTACACTACCTAAACAACACAACAAAATCTTATGGGTCATCTAGGAAGCAGCAATAAGAACATTAAAGGTACCAATTTTACTGCACCAGATGCTCATTTCGACTAGTATTGTCTCTTCAGTGATCCTCGAGGCATGAAATATTGAAAAATCCAAAGCCTAATTCAAACTTGGAAAAGCTGATGAGTCAGATCATATTTCATTTTGCATTGAGTCCAGAAGTAGATTTAGAATGATGATGTTTAAAACCCTGACTAGTCTTTTACTAAACTAACATGGCCTTAAATATATTTTTCGGTTTATCATAACTATGTGTTGGCCTATCTCATTGGTGAAACGTGATAAAGTAGAGTTCATCAAGCCTTACACAATTGTCAAAATTTGACCTCAAATACTAGTAGTTAGTTTACTCATTGTTTTTTGACAACATAAATATCAGCAAGATCTTAAAATGCTTTTTTTACGATTTTTTGTTTTGTTTAGCTGTGTCCTGCATAAAATTCAAAAATATAATGACTTATATAGGGCAGAATAATGTTCAATGGTCATCTCATGATATTATTTGCTAGATTCATAATACTTTTAGATTTTTTAAATACCAAGGACCAAAAAGTTGGTCAAATTATTCATTCTCCTATCCTCAGTCGACCTTTACATATGTCTTCATTCATACAATGAACAACTATTACAACATTTTGTACTCGTAAAATAAGTTTTACTAACTAATTCGTTTTATTGGATGTTCTCAACAAAGAACAGTATATTGTAAAGACAAACTGCCGATAAAACGAATAATGGCATTTTATTTTTTATAATAACTTCAGCACGAATATCAGCTCGCGCTAACAGCATCAAAAACAAAAATGCCATTGTTCTATATGTATTGCCTGTTAATGATGAGAACAAATAAACTCATCATAGATACTAGGATTAAATTTTATATTTACGCCAGACGCGCGTTTCATCTACAAAAGACTCATCAGTGACGCTCGAATCCAAAAAAGTTAAAAAGGCCAAATAAAGTACGAAGTTGAAGAGCATTGAGGATCAAAATTCCTAAAAGTATAGATAGGCACTGAAAATCGGGTCGAGTGGTATAGGTTGGAAAACTTTTTCATTGTTGCCATTGAATGTTCGATAGAGGAATACATGTTGACTCGCAATACGCTGCAAAGAGTTGTTGCTTTGATTTTGTACCATGGCACGAGCCTGTCACAACCTATGGTCGAGACATTGGATTCAACATCCCAATTCCGACCTGAGGCGACTTCGGTCTTGTACATCACGCACAATCAAACGGACATTTATCTATGTAGGATATACGTCAATGAGACAGCAACCAAAACACACATAGAGATAAACATTTAAACATTGATAAGAGTATTAACAGAATGTCTAACTCTAAACTGCTTCAAGATTTCAAAGTTGGGAAGAGATTTATGCGACTATAAAAGATATGCCATTAATTTCAAATTTCCACAAATTGATAAAATAACATAAGATGGTACAAAACACAACAGATGCTCAGGTTCCAACATACGATTGTCATAAATCTTCCCTTTTATATTTGATAAGTGGAATGATAAGAGGTACTGACATTGTAGTAAAAGACATAACACATATTAGGCGAAAAGGACTTAACACTCATATAAAGGAGGTTTATATGCGTAAAGTTTATAGAACAAACTCACCAGATCCATTGCTGAACAAAGTTAATGAATCAATAAATGTTCAAATTAATTATATACTACTGAATAAAACTCTTAAGTGTTTATATCTTCTTTTAATGTATACGTAGGATCGGGTACATTAAGCATGCGTCTTGAACTTTTTTCCTTGAAGTAAACGTCTTTGGTAAGCCAGGTGAGAATTTTTCATGAAAACCATGAAGATCTTTTTACAATCATTTGTGCTCAAATATGTGTTTAAGTGTCCAAAAAGTGTTTTCTTTGATGAATTTCTTAAACAATTGGACAACGTTTGTAACATCCATTCTCCATATTTTGGGTTGCGCACAGCAAGATTTCCTGATAAAAGTCATCTTTGAGTTAAGCGAGAAATAAATTCTGCAAAATGTTATAATCAGTTCATAACCGCTTCGATATGGGTATCTATGTTTGTTGTTGTTATTACATTATCATGAGCGTCACACAATTAAAATATGTCAGGGCCTCACAATAGGGTTGTACATAACAACTATGTATACACATTTGCATTTAGAAATTAAAGTACTATTTTGTATACAAGTTTAACAACATTTGTTTTTCAATACGATTTTAACAATCACATCGAAAAGTTTCGTTTGAATGAATTATAAATGTTCAGGCAATATCATAAAGTTATCGAGACAAAATGCGTTATGTTTGTTCTATGTAAAAAACTTTGTGTAGTACACTATAAAAAAAATACGAGAGAAATAACCGTACGATATGAACAGTTAAGAGAAATCTAATACGATCAATTATCACCTTCATAATTTTTTTGTGAAAAGAATCCCGGACAGTCCTAAAGCATGGCACTATTATTCAACTTTAAACGTTTCCGTGCTGATGTTTTAATTTTTTGGGGCTTTCTAGAACGGAACATTGAGAGCAAATATAGCAAATAAAAACAAAATTAAAACATAGCAAAATAAGTAAAAAGAAAATATTAGAAAGAAAACGGAAAAAGAAAATATTGTATGTTATAGGACTACACCAGACCTTTGAACTTGATAATTGTTTGCATACACTTAAATGAGGTCTATTTAATACTTTAACGACCAGACTTGCTTGAACATTCAAATATCATGCAAATAAAATTTAACTCCTGGAAATGTCATTCAAGTACCATATGAATCCGGTCGTTTAATACAAAATTTACGTTAATGTTTTGTGTGATCGCAGATTGTAATTTTTACTGTGTTTCGTGGTAGAAATAACTGTACAATTTGTAGAAAATAACTGAGGTTTTGGTTGATGTACAGTATAAATAAAGGATTTACCGGGTACATACCATTGGGACAGTATCCCAGCGACACAAATAATCAAGAGACATCTTAACAAAATTCAATGACGAAAACATTGCAGTAAAAAAGGAAATCTAAAATTAGTCAAAATGAGAACTTTTTGTTCTAAATACCACCGTCCCGGTTTGAAATATAAATTGGTTAAATTACAATAATCGATTTGGTTACTATATAAGGTCAGATGTCAAACGCACCATACAGATACCGTGTCTTTCGTTAAGTTCTTATCGACTGGGTTAGCCTAAAGTGTTTCTTCTTATTTCGTTTAATTGCATTTTTCTCATGAAAAAAATGATGAAAAAATAATTTCATTTCTTATTTTTTCAGTGTAACTTTAGTTGAAACATTCAAAGTTATTTCGTATTTGTCATCATCTGAAAACGGTGAGCTAATATTCTTTTATTAAAAATAAAGTAGATAATTCCATTTGATCTTATCACTTAAACTGAGCATTTTTATTTGAAGACACCTATCTAAGATAGTGCTGCATGCATTTTTATCTCGTTTTGTTATGCTGAACTCTTTCTAACATTTCATAGTCCTCTTCTCCTCTTATTCTAACTGGATGATAGTTCCCTTACACTATTTTAATATATCAAAAAGACGCGACAAGTTTGAAAAAGGCCACATTATTTTTGTTGTCTTAAATCACAGGATTTGTATTCAATCGGAATTCGTTCGTGATACGATATTATCAAGCGTGTAACTAAAAAGAAAGATACAAAATCCCGATCTACCAGCACTTAAATTACTTGGTAAGAAAGGCTAGACACATATTTTGACCTTATCAGCAGTATTATCATTTTAATTATTATTTTTGTTATTACCATAATTATTATTATTTATTTCATTATTGCGGTTATTGTTTCTAAATGCTTCAATATAATGAGTAGTACATGTCCTAAAATGTTAAATTTTGCATGTTTGAATTGAATGTATTCTATTTCTTTAATATAATATTGTGGTTGGGGTTGTATAAATTATTAAGCAATCAGTAAAGAACCTCCTATAATATCATTATAATTGTTATTATCATCATTAATATTATTCACTTCATTATTGCAATTATCTTTTCTAAATGCTTTCAGATAATGTTTAGTACATGTCCTTAAATGTTAATCTGCGCATGTTCAAATAAAATGTATTCTATTTCTATTATATAATATTTTGGTTCAGATTGTATGAATTTTTAAGCTATCAGCAAAGAACATCAAATAGTTAAAGAAAGAAAACGCTAAAGTAGTAATATGTCCCGCGGGGTTTCACCTACAATGTTGTCGTTATATACTTATGTGTTTGTTGTTTTGTTGTATGAAACTAAAAGAATATGCATTTATCTCTTTTATATTTTCTGATTTATTACTGAATTAATTCTTTCAAAATTGATGCAAATCATCAAATCTTAACTAACAATGCATAGTATTTTCCAAAAAAAAAAGATCTGTTGTTGAAACACACAAATTGTACGTTAATAATA